TGCTTCTATGTTCCATCAGAAAATAGTCTGGGGAGAAAAAAAACCACATGGTGGATTATGGGATTAGAATAGTGTGCAAGGGCAGGAATCAGTGGGAGGGAAGGAAGCCTTTTCTGCAGATAGACTGGGGCAGGGCTGGATAATCCTGCTTCCAGACTCTGATGAAGCATGGATCCAAGGTCAGTGTGCATGCATGCACTCAGGAGGGTCACCTGTCTCCGTGAAAAGAAGAAGGGCAGAAAATAAAGTTCCTAAGACTCAGGATGTCTCATGTAACCTTGGACTGTTGCATTTTACAAATAGGACAGAGGCTGGCACAGAAAAGTCTCTAGATTATTCATTCATTCGGCAAGTATTTAGTCAGGGCCTTCCCTGGCTCAGGTACTGTTTTAGGTACAGAGGACACAATGATATGCAAACGTGACAGGGTCTTGCCCTCTGAATGCTTCAGTCTGGTAGGAGAAACAATCCAAAAGAATGTAAGTAATTTGCTGTGATAAGGAGTAGGAAAGAAAGGGCCAGGGACTAGGAGAGCCTGTCGCAGGGGACTTGGTCGCATCTGTGGGTCAGGAAAGGCTTCCCTGAGAAAGTACTCCAGCGAGCTGAGAGAGGGAAGCTCAGTAGGCCTTAACCAGGGGAAGAAGGAGCAAGAGAAGGTTTCAGAAGGAGACAACAGCGTGGAAAGGAACAGGGCAGACTGAGAGCAGAACAAAGTCCTGGGAGGCTGGGGCACAAGTAGCTGGGAAGGCGATGGGAGCGGGATGGTCAGCCAGGTGGGGCTGTGTAACAGGCTTTACTCTTTATTCTGAGTGCAAGGAGAAGCCACTGGAGAGTTGCAAGCAGGGAAGGAATCTGCTTTTTTGAAAGATCATTCTGATGTCTGTATGAAGAATGGGTTGGAGGAGGAAAAGGGGATACCAGTTAGGAGACTGTGACAGTGGTCCACAGAAATGGTGTCACAGCTGGTGGGGGGAAGGGAGGGATGGAGGGGAAGAAGTGGAAATATTTAAGAGATACATGTTAGGAGCTGAAACAGATGGTTCTTGATGGGTTAGGTGAAGGTTTTGTGGGAGAGAGAGGTCTCGAGGATGACTCTGGGTTTCTGGCTGGGGCCATAGGATAGTAGATAAATCAGGTTTCAAGAGAAATATGTAAATCTTTCCATTTGACCTTCTTTGTTCTAGGTACTGTGCAGGCCACTGGGGCTGCAGGCCAGAAGGATGGCCCCTGACTTTAGGGACCATCTAGTGGGTCGATTTGACATGTAATAAGAGTCTCTGAATATGGACAGAGACTGTAAAATGGTGCTGCAGAAGAGATATGGACAAAAATAGTGTGGCGAGATACATCCAGGAGGAGCTTGTGAGGAGATGGGATCTGAGCCAAGTGATCAAGGACAGACAGGGCAAAGTGGGTGAAAGAGGGAAATCCAGGTAGCAGAAACAAAGAAACAAAACATTGGGAGTGTATAAAACAGCATGGGGTGGCCAGAGGACAGTGCGAGGAGGGTGAGGCTGCAGGGCTGGCTGCCACCTGCCCTGCCTTCCACCAGGGCTGCCGTAAGGGTCCAGCATGTGAGCATTTAGTAAACTGTTTGTACATTTAATATAGTAATGGATTTACTCATGTGATGCACCAAAGCACTCTACAAATATCAAGAATTATGATTTCAGATCCCTGTCTAAAAGGATCGCTTGTTCCTCTGTTGTAATAATCCCTGCCATTTGTATTGCTATCCCCACCATACAGGCAAGGAAACCGAGGTCTCCTGTAGTTGAGTAATTGCCCCAGCTCTTGCAGGCCATAGCAGCACAGAAGCTGAGACAAACCCAGCAGGTCATTTTAGTTTCCAACAGGGTACACAGGCCGGGAGGAGAAGGGGTCTGTGTCATGTGCTGTCTGGAGAAGATGCGCATCTGGCCAGGACACCAGACTTGGTTGTGCAGGCTGGACTATGCCCAAGGACAGCTGGCCTGTGGGCTGACTGGGGCTGAATCCAGCCCATCCCATTCACCAACCCTGTGCTGGGCTTCCCCTCTAAGGGCACAGCAATTTGTACTGCACACAGAGGGCACTCTGAGTGTTGCTTTTGTCAGCCTTACTGGAAGTGGTGGGGCATTTAACAGCAGGGAGACTGGCAAGGCACTGTGGAACCGAGTGATGGCCAGTCAGTGTCAATGAGACTTTTATGTTGCTCTTGAGGACAGTTTTTTGTTCATAAGAAAACCAACCGAGGCTGCTGTGGCTTTAAAAATGAATGCTTAATGGATAAAAGTAACAAATTTAAAAATCTAGTAAATTTAACAATCTCTTTGAAGGGGGATTTTATAACTTAATTAATACAATTCACCTAAATAATTTAAATTAAATTATAAATAATTTAAAATAAATTAAGCTTAAAAATATGAAAGCTATTGAGTTGTCATAAAAGTTCCATTATTGCTTATAAAATTTATACAATTGTCATCTCTTTCCATTTAAAATCACAAGTCTAAATTAGTTACTCCATTACACACTTTATATTGGAATCACAGTCCTTCTGTTACAGATTCTAATATGCCAAATTATTTTAAACATTGCAAATAACTTTCAAACTAAATCTATTCCTCAATACCAACAAAAGGTATTATTGTAATTTATTGTTTCTAATCTTAATTCTAAACTTTCCCATGACTAAAGATATTTGGCCACTAAGGAAACAGGTTTACTAACCAAAGCAATGCAAGGTTATATATTTAAGCAAATATATATATATATTTGGGATTAATTTACAGCTGATTAAGAGTGCTCATTAGACAGAAATTTGGGCATGGCATGGAAGCCAGTGCTGCAAACATCCAGGGAAATGTATTTGTCAACTCAAACTGTGCAGCTGGCCCTCAGAGGACACTGAGTTCATATCCTGCCACTGGAATCGGTTTTGCAACCCAAGCCCCTGAGATCAAGTTAAGTCCAGGCCACCTTTTTCCTGTCTCCCGTCTCAACTTCATCACCCCTTCAGGATGACCCCACCCAGATCATTCACTACCTGATAGGATCATCTAATCAATTTTCTGGTTGATTTTATTCTGAGTTAGGTTTTTACTTTTCCTCTCTAGCCGGCCACCAAGTATTACAGGTATTTTAATACCATCCTTGGGTTCTGTATGCCTCTGGTGGCCTTGCCCGGCTCTCTCCGCAAACGCTAAGTTCTTACTGATGGTAGCCAGCTGTGTCCATCTGGCCAGAGCAGCTGTGCTCTGTGTCGTGCTGAGCCAGGGACCTGCACTGGCCTCTCTCTGTCCACTATAATGCTCAGAGGGACTGGACCGATAGGCTGCCTGTGCCACCATGTACTCTGCTGAGAGATGTACGTCTCTGGTCTAAGAGACGTAAGTACCCCGGTAGCTCAAGATGCTAAATATAGTAAAAAGCTTCTGGATCAAGATGACAGGACAGAGTGAAAAAAGTCCAAATATGTGTATTTTACTTTAAGTAAACAGAAGAATAATTATATAGTAATATCATGGTACAAGGTGCTCTACCTACATGATCTCTATTCATAAATTTAATAAATATATATCATTATACCCAGTGAAATAGATGACAAACTTGTGAGGCTCAGAGAGATGAGACCATAATGAGCTAAGAAAGTATTACTAAGTAGAGGTCTCCTTGCACCAGGTTTAATAAGCAGGTACGGCAAATTTCTAAAAGCCAATAGAACTGTTAAAATGATGAAGTGGTTTTAAAGACTTGAGTGGCCACAAAATATAAAAGAGTAGTAATAGCTACCCTGTACTGAGCATCTACTAAGTCCCAGACTGGAGGCCATGCAGGTCCCCTCACTTTCCAGATCAGTTGCCCTCTCTGGACCTCAGTTTCTTCCTCTGACAAGTAAAAGTGATGAAAACCTCCCTGCATGCTTTATAGGGTTGCCAGGTTGCTGAAATGAGCTAAGAAAAGAAGTGATTTGGAAAGTGGAATGTGCTATAGGTGTGCAAGAGTTTGTGACATTGGCTGAGTGGCCACTCCTGAGTGGCGACTTTCTGCCTGGCCTGCAAGGAAGGAGTGTACATACTAAACTAGACTGACAGGGTCTGATGGTGGCAATGTTTGCCCTTGGCATCAGTGACATTACCTGCTCTCCACAGTGCAGGGCGGGGCGGGGGCGGGGTAGGTGCAGGGAAATCAGCCCCAGAGACTTGGAGTAAGTGTGGGCAAAGGCTCAGGTAGAGAGAGCCGGAAGTAGGGATGGAGTGAGGGACGCAGGCCTCTTCACTACCTGAATGAGGAGCTTCAGCCAGTCACCTACCAAAGGTGGGGGTGATGGCAGTGGCATGGGCAACAATGCGGTACATTGTCTACAGAGAATTTAAAAGCAATAATAAAACTGATTAAAAGCTGGTCTTATTATTATCACCATTTGCTGATTGTTCTAAACAATATCAATGATATAATACTTTTCTGCTTGTAAGGAATGGGGGAAAGAGGGACATTCCCACCGCCCTCTTTCTTGGCATGCTGTGAACCCCTTGTCCCTCCCCACTGTCAGCCCTTAACGATAGGGTTGGGGAGAGGAAGGAGCCTTGGAAGGCACTGAGGACAAGAAAAGAGCACTCTGGCCTATAGGATCATCTGAGTGGACAGCTAAGATGGGTTCGCAGGATAGGCCCAGCTATCCTGGAGGAAGAGCAGCCTGAGTACAGTGTGGGGTAGATGGACTGCTGGGCTGCCCACTGGAGGACTCCGAGTCCCGTTACAGCACTGCCATTTTCACCTGGGTGCCGCCCTCTTTGCCACGTGCAGGTTATAATCAATTGGCAAGCACACTGAATGACTAATTTCCAAGCCTTTCCCTCACCCCACCCCACGTTCTATACTAAGAACATGGAAATCAGGTCTCCTCCTGGCTCTCCAGCAAGAGCTGCCCTGCCCAAGCTCCACAGGCAATCTGTGTTCTGCCCTATCCCTGGCCCAAGCTCTGGCCCTCACAGTGACCACCTCTCTCTCCTCTGCAGGAGCCAGGTTGAACCCACCAGTGATTCACGTAAGAATCAAGGTCCTGTAGCCACAGAGCCAGACAAGGATCAAGGTCCCGTTGGCCCCAGGCCTCTGAAAGATCAAGGTCCTGTGATCCAAGAACCTCTGAAGGATCAAGGCCCCATGGTTCCAGGGCCTCTGAAGGATCTAGGTCCCACAGTCCCCTCATCAGTTAAGGATCAAGATCATGTGATCCCTAAACTTTTAAAGAATGAAGATTCTGTGGTCTCAGAACCAGTCAAGGACCAAGATTCCTTGTTCCCATTGCCTCTAAAGAGCCAAAGTCCTGTGGTTCCAGCAAGAGTTAAGGATCAAGGTTCCATGGTACCAGAGCTTCTGAAGGATCAAAGTCCTGTGGTCCCAGCACCTGTCAAGGATCAAGGTCCGATGGTCCCAGAGCATCTGAAGGATCAAAGTGCCATTGAAATAGCACCTATAAAGAAGGAAGGTCCTCTGCTGTCTGAGCCTGTAAAGAATCAAGGTTTAGTGGTCCCAGAGCCAGTCAAGGATCAAGGCAGAGTGGTCTCAGAGCTTCCAAAGGATCATGATTCTGTGGTTGCCGTGGCTGTAAAGAATCAAGGTCCTACAGTCCTAGCGCAAGTCAAGGATCAAGGACCCACAGTCCCTGAGCTTCTAAAGACTCAAGGTCCTGTGGTCTCTGCTCAAGTAAAGGATCAAGGCCCCATGGTCCCTGAGCCTCTAAAGACTCAAGGTCCTATGGTCCCTGCACAAGTCAAGGATCAAGGTCCCATGGTCCCCGAGCCTCCAAAGACTCAAGGTCCTGTGGTCCCTCAGCCTGTGAAGAATCTAGTTCCTATGGTTCCCGTACCTCTGAAAGATCAAGATCCTCTGGTGCCACCACCAGCAAAGGACCAAAGTCCTATGGTCCCTGAACATCTGAAGACTCCAGGTCCCAGGGCCCCTCAGCTGCCCACTGTCTCACCTCCACCCCCGGTCATGATCCCAACTGTCCCCCATGCAGAATATATTGAGAGTTCCCCCTGACACTCACCCCTCAACACACCAAGGAAGGAGCTAGTAGTGAAAGTGCTCCCTTCCCAGGGCAGCAAAGACTCACATTTAATCTGCATGAAACATGTACTGTATAGTCTTGCTGGAATCTAATAAAACTGATCCCTCTGGCTCAGCAGTGTCTCTGGCTCCATTCGAGAGAGTGTGTCTGTGTGTGTATGTGTGCACGTGCGCCATGCACATTTGAAAGTGGGCATGCAGGACTCTGCATCACCTAACTGGGCCAGAGAAGTCTGAGAAATCTCAGCTTAGATTAGATTAAGTGCTAAGAGATGAAGGACAGGACACACCTATGTTTCTCCCTGACTCTCACATTCCTACACTTCACTTCTGACACAAGTGTGTGTGAGTTTCATATACTTCAAGCAATTATCCGACATCGGCTGGGTGCCCCACAATTTAACTCAATTCTGACACTATCTACCTGGAGATAGCGTCAGCTCCTGCAGGTTAAGGGAGTCCCATAAGACTGCCCCCATCCCTCTCACTTCAGATACCAACTGCAAGTCCCAGGTCTTCTGTCCCTTGTACATCTGACTGGCTATAAGTCAGCATACCCACAATCTCCTACTTGGGCTCAATTTGCTAGAATGGCTCAGACCTCAGAAACATGTTTACTAGTTTATCATAAAAGGATAAAGAATACGGATGAACATCCAGATGGAAGAGATGCATAGGGCCTCACAATGAGCTCCTCGGGGGGGCAGGGGAAGGGGTATCACTGAAGCCTCACAATGGGGAGAACTCCAGATTGAGCTCCCCAGGGATAGAATGGAAATACAACTGGGCCCATCTCAAAGCTCTGGAGACTTTTAAGAGGTAGGAAGAGAAGTGCACAAAAGAAGCTGAGAAGGGCTGACCCTAAACTGTAAGGAGAAACCAAGGGCCTATGGTACCAGAAGTGATTTAATGATAGTGATGCCCAGTGATAAAAGCTGAGAGTGCAGATGAGGACCAGGTGGCTGTCGAACAAGGCAGCTTTCACTTGGGAAGAGGGTAGATCTGGGCTCCAGCCCAACAGCAGCCACATCAATTTTCTCATTTGTCAAAGGGTCCTGATGATTAGAGGAGATCCTGAGGCAGATCTAGCTCAGGGTGCAGCTGCAGGTAGCCACTCCATCGCATCATGTCCTGTTCTACGCTGCATATAAAGAAGGCCCAGTGAGGGAGGTGATGGCCAAGGCCTCTGGTCCTGGGCTTAGGCTGCGAAAGTCCGAAATGAACTAGACTCTCTTCGTTCTCCCCAGATGCAGACTTCATTCAGGGCCTGGTTCTTCCTTGGTGCAGCCATTTCCCAGCTCCTCCCCAGCATCCGTCATCTCCATACCTCCCTTCTCCCCGTTCCTCCCTTTGGAGGTCTGGGGAACCCAGATAAAGAAGGACCTTGGCCGGCCGCTGCCAGCGACTCCGCTTGTATAGACTCGCCCACCTGGGGGAGAGGTGAAGAGGCCGAGATGGGGTGACAGGGCAGGTGGGAGTCTCTGAAAGAGGAGGTCCCCACTGCTGGCCCATGACCAAAACCAGGTGGGTCAGCATTGGAGCCCCGACCTAAGACTTAGATCCCGAAGATGCCCAGACTCCGCTGGAGAGCCCCCGAACCTGGCTCTCGACTCCAACCCTTCCTGCCCACACCCCAGCTCGAGAGCTCACTCCCTGCTCGGCCGCCTCGCAGTTTCCCAGGGCCCGGGCCCGGGGTTTCTCTGCGGGTGCAGCCTGCAATAGTCTTGCAAGGTCTTGCGACGCGGGGTTGGGCCATGGGAGCGGGGGTCGGGGAGGACGTGCTGGGGCCCGGGTGAGCAAAAGAAGCCTAAGCGACAGCAAGCGCAGACCACGCGCCCCACTCAGCCGCCCTAGGAGGGGCTGGCGCCACCTGGAGGCCGGCCTGGGAGACCCGGGAGGAGCGGGCCGAGGCCTCGTGGGAGCGCCTGGTGGTTGATCTGGGGAAAGGCTGCGATTTTACCCCTTTTCTCACATAGTGATTCTCTCCCTTAATGCTAACCTGGAGGTGTCATGGCCGGGCCCACTAACATCCAGATCCTGACCTATCCATCTCCACCACCTGCATTGCCACCCTCCACACCCAGCACCTCCACCCCTCACTGCACAATGGAAGCAGACCTCTCACCACCCCATTTGTCTCTGCACATCTCTGAGCTGCACCTGTATGATTAGGATGACTTCCCACCTAATTGGACTATTGTAGGGATTAAGTGGGACGACATATAGACGATAAACAGATTATGCACTTTTACTATTAGAATCTGGCCAGTTTTCCTCTTGCCCTTCCTGTGTGATGTAGACGGAGAACAATCATCTAACTGAATAGGAGCAATTCCCAGGGCCTCAGGCAGATCACTTAATCTCTCAGCCTCAGTTATCTCACCTGTAAAATGGGGAAATCTCTACCTCACCAAGCTGTTAGGAGGCTGGGATAAAATTTTATATATATTTATACATATATGTGATTATATATAAATATTTATATATATTTATATCTATAAAATCAAATGACTTGACACGGTGTTTAGCACAGAGCAGAAGCAAAACACAAAGGTAGTACCAGCTGTATCATTAAAATCATTCTGATCAAGAAATACCTACTCACCCTTCAAGGCAATGCATGTTACCTCTTCTAGAGAGCCTTTCTTGTCCTCCCCATGGCAGCCATAGCGTCCACCACTAGACTCCCACAACCCTAGTATCTTTCTAGCAGCCTTTTCCCTTACTTAGCAAATGTGTTTAGTGCCTTATATGTGCATGATGCTGAATCTGAGTGCAGGACATACAGTGACGAACAAGACATAGTCCCCACTCTCATAGTGGGGACAAACAGTGAATGTATCGAAGTGGATAATTTCAAGCACTAAGGAGTCAGTAAAATAAGATAACATAGAAACTGAGGTGGAGGAAAAGCTGCTTATATTGGGTGGTCAAGTAAGGCCTCATTGAGCAGATGACATTCAAGCTGAGTTCTGGATGACAAAAAAAGGAGCCCTGCAAATAACTAGAAGAACCACTTGCCAGGCAGAAAGAACAGCTAATGCAAAGGCCTTGAAGCAAGGGAATACATGTCTGAGAGCAAAATAATCCAGGGGACTGGAATACAGTGAGTACTGAGCACACCTGTCACTGGCCCTAAGTCTCTACCTCTAGATAAAACCCCCTTGAAGGTAGAGACCTAATTTATTGAGTCCACAGTACCAGGCAGACCTGGAGCTCTGAACAGTTAAATTTCTGTTGCAGTAATAATGGGAGTGAATCAGCTGGCCTTTCTGCAGCCCCATTCACATCTTAGAGCAGTGGTCCCCAACCTTTTTGGCACCAGGGACCAGTGATCCTATGAGAATCTAATGCCTGATGATCTGAGGTATAGCTGAGGCTGCGGAGCAGCTGCAAATGCAGATGAAACTTCTTGCTTGCCTGCTCACCTCCTGCCATGCAGCCTGGTTTCTAACAGGCCATGGGCCAGTACTGGTCTGCAGCCTAAAGGTTGAGGACCCATGTCTTAGAGGACTCCATCTGGGTTGCCCAGACAGGCAGGGGCTCCCTCCCTAGACCAAGAACCCCTGGGCAGAGTTGTTGAGACAAAGAACCAAAGAGGTGCCCACAGAGAACTGACCTGCCCAAGGTCACACAGCCAGCAAACAGCAGAGATGGGGCTCGTATCCAGTTTCCTCTGCTCCTCTGCCTCCCTGGCCATGGGTCTTCTGTCCTGTGCATCCCACTTGCCCTCTCCCTCCCAGAACTGTGGCATCAGGAACCCCAAGGACCACGAGAGGAAACCAAAGTGATTGAGATTGTGTCAGGTACTTCCTCCCCTCCTGTTACAAATGCAAACACAGAACGAGGATTCCACAAACTCCTTCCTTCAAAGGCCCTGCCCAGTCAGGCAGCCTGAGCTTGTACCCTCTGGCCCTACATGTGAATGAGGTCAGTTTGAAGTAAAAGTTTAAGAGGCCAAAGCCTGGAGCCCTGTACAGCAGGACAGGGACACCCTGGGCTCCAGGTCCAGCGCCATCACTGTAACCCTGCAAGCCATCTTTCCAGGACAGTCAGAGCTGAAAAACAATCTCCTGAGTCAGGAAAGAGCAGGCCTACTGCTCAGCATCATCTGCAGTCAGGTGCCAACATTTCAGGGTCTGATATGGGCTATTAGCAGCAAACCTGGTTTAACAGAAGGAGCCCTTGTCCCTGGGGAAGAACGACATGGGAATCTCTGATCCAATCATCTTCATTCTCCCAACGAAATTTCATTGGAAAAGTTTTATTGAAAAAAAATTGTACAAATTAAGTTCTTGGTTTGACAGCAACAAAGGCTCATTTTCTCCCTTCCCTCCCACCTTTGAAAATTTATTAAAGGAAGGAATTCATCCCCATAATGCCTGACCAGAGTCTGCCTAGGAGCCCCCCTACCCATGAGCTATTTCCTGATCCCTGTCACTAGGGCCAGGGCCATGGTAGAGGTGCCTGTCCCAGGGGCTGCAGCACCTAGTTTTATAGTTGAGGGAAGTCAGGGAAGATTAGGATAGAGCTGGGGGAGGGGGCTGAGGTGGTAATAGTATCAGGAAAAGAGGATCCCCATTTCCCAAGGGCTGGGCTAAACCCCCCAGCTCAATTCTGTCTCACAGATGAGAAAGCACTTGGCTATAAATATGAACACTGACTGAGGCAGGCTTGATCCTAGGAGTCTGAGGGCAGGGCATGACGACTATTGCCCAGGTCCCATAGGATGTGGGGCTGGGCTCAGCATCATGATGTCTAAGCAGAGTGAATTCTGGCTGGGAAGGTCTGCTCAGACACACAGGAAGTCTGCTGTTCCCCCACCCACCCACCCCATGGAATTTCCAAGGTCAGTACCTCAGTTCCCCCCACCCCCATAGCACCCATGTGTTTCAGGAGCCTTCAGCTGCCTTCTGCCATCCCGTGCCCACCCAGGGCCCTACAATTCATCTCTCATCTTGTCACCCTTGGGCCGGACCAGGCGCCCAATGAATAGCAGGGAGCCGCTCTGGGAGTCTCGAACCAGGAAGATGAAAGGGTGGTCAGCGTAAAAGAGCTTGGGGCTGCGCAGCTCCTCGCGCCCATAGATGTCCTGGTCAAAGGGGTTGCCCTCCGTGTCCCACTCGAAGGCAGTGGCATGGAACACACTGGCCAGGTACAGGTCCTTCTTGCCCGACATGCGCGACAGATCTGCCTTGTTCTTGTCGATGGCTTCAGTCAGACCCAGGCCAGCCAGGTGTTTCTATGGGACCAGGTAGGTGCCAGGTGAGGCCACAGTAGGCAAGGCTTCTAGACCCTCATCCTCCACCCACATCGCCTGCCATCTCCCACTCTGTTCCTTAGAGCAGAGGATTATCACTCCCTGGCCACTTTCTGTGTGCCAGACATGGATGGCATGGGCACTTCAGTTCTCATGACAACCCTGCAAGCGCTTCTAATTGCCATTTCACAGATGAGGAAACTGAGACTCAGGGGAAAGGCAGAACTTACCCCTGGCTCTGCCCAGAAATCCTGACCAGTGCTTCTCAAAGTATGTATGGGCACGGACAGCCTGCATCAGCTTATATGAAACACACATTCCCTGATCCCAGCCCAGAGCCACTGAATCTCTGTGGGTGGATCCAGAACCTTTTTAACAAACGCTCTAGGTAATTTCTGGCACACTGGAGTTTGAAAAAGACTGATCTAAGGACAGCTATGACCATATCACATTGGGGCGTAAAACCTTTCCAGAGTGATATGATGTCTTGGATTTGCTTCAAAATAATGTGATGGGGGAAGAATGAGTGTGTATAGATGAATCCTTGTTGGTCATTGGGTGATATATACATGAAAGTTCATTACATTTAATATTTTAATACATTCCTATAGTAAAAAGTTAAAACATACACACACCCTGTCCACAGCTCTGCATAGCTCTCAGAAGCCAAGCACAAACTCTCTCACATATGAACTGTGCTTACATTGCAACCTCACTTCTTAAGCATGCCCCACCCTGTTCTCCATTGGACAGCCTTACTGAAAAACTAGCATCCTGGATGGTATCTCGATGGCTATCCCTTTTCCCCATAGGTCTTTGGGATAGGGAAGGCCGTTCAGAAAGCCTTCCCTATCCCACAGACCGGTGCCATGCCTCCCTGGGCCTCAGTATCCCCAGCCTCCCACTATCTGTCTCTCCTTCCTGGTTCAGAGCTCGCCCAAGGCAGGGCCTATGTCCAGGGCTCTCCTGGAATCTCAATGCAAAGAGGCAGCAGTACATGACTGTGGGCTGAGTGAATAGCAGTCCCTGGAGCCAGGCTTCTGCAGGGCAGTCCACCTCCTTGGCACGGCCAAATAAGGCACTAGATCTGGGGTTCTGAGACAGGCGTTCTAGGCCCAGCTAGTCCAATCCCAATGACCCTGTGCAGGTCACTCACTTCAAATTTCCCAACTCAATTTAACCCAAGGACTAGTGGGTAGTGTCCACCCAGGGTTCCAGAAGACATGGGAGAAAGAAGGGGAGGAAGGGGGTAGATAATGGCCACTGCAGAAGAACAGGCTGGGGAAGAGTTGGGACAAGCCCAAGAGGGAGACACCGATGGCTCCCCACTGGAAACCTCAGTGCTGTCTACAGTACAGACCATCCAAGCTCCAGTAGTCTCTGGTTTGGGGCCTAAACTCCATTTCACCTCAAGCTTTCTCTCTCCATACTCTCAGCAGCAAGTCTGAATCAATTCTGTGGGTGAGAGGCCTGCCAAGGAACCATTTCTGGCATTCAAGGCAAGAATGAGATGAAAGTTTCCATTTGGAATAAGTAAAAAAAAAATCTCTTTCCTGATTCACAAAAAGGCCACCTTGAGGACTAATTGCAGCTCCACCACTTACTAGCCAGAATAACCTTAGCAAGTCACTGCTTCTCATCACCCAAGTGGTCATAGGGGGAAATCATGTTGGGTAGGTAGGTTAATTTTCTAGCCATCCCAAGTGACCCACAGTTGAAAGCCATGATTAGTCTTATTGCTGCATGTGGGACGATCTTCCAGCTTAAACAGTGTGTAACTGGGGGCCTGTTAGACTCTCAGAGGCAGCACAGGAAATGATTAAGGGCATGGCTTGGTGCCAGATATCTGAGTTACTGGCCATGTGACTTTGGATAAATTATTTAACCTTTCTGAGCCTCAGTTTCCTCATCTGTAAGAGAAGATTGACAGTTCTACTTAATAAAGTTGTTTTGAGAATTAAGAGTTTGATACAGATAAAGTGCTCAGGAGAGAACCTGGCATAGAGCAAGTAAGAGCTTAATTTAGCTACTGATGTTATCGTCATCTTCCCACAGACAGAGCCCATGCCTCCTTCCCCAGGTACCCCCACAGCCAAGACCAGTACTGCTTGGATACCCAGAGGAGCTCAAGATAGACATGCTGAGCTGGTGAATGGGTGCCCTAAGCATCCCCCTCCTCCAAGCCTGGAAGCCCCCAAGTTGGGCCATCCCTCACCTGCAGGTCATGGGTCACCTCCACCACACCCTTGGGCAGGGAGATGGCAACAGCCTTCTTCTGCATCTTCCCCATCCATATCTTCAGCTGCTCTTTGGTCAGCATCTTTTCAAGGCGCTCGAGGGGCTCCACGTGGTGGGGCATGAGGATGATGAGGCTGGAGAGCTTGTGGGCCAGGGGCATTTCCACGATTTGCATCTTCTCTTTCTCATCATCATAGTAGTTGTAGAGGCCTAGAAGAAAAGCAGAGAGGGCACTGGGCACGCTGCAGAGCCGGGGCAGGGCCCAAGCACCCTCAGATCCCCACCTTGGCCTCCACTCTGAAAGGCGCCTACCTGTCCGGTGCATCATGGTGACACCCACGGTATAGGAACGGGTCACCATGAAGCCTCGGTTGTCCACCATCTTGTGGTGGAATCTCTCATCCCAGTGTGCTGTAGCAGAAAGTAGGATACAAGGTCAGGAATAGATGCCCCACCTCGAGACACAATCCCAACTGCATACCCTGGACTTATCCCTGCCACAGGCCTCTGTTCCAGTCTTCGGGCCTCGGCTGCAGCCTGCCTCCCCGCTGAGCACCGAGCCCACAGAGTATATGCTCCCTGCTTTGGGGGACGGGGTCTTGGCCCCAGGATGTGCTGCCTGTAGATATGACTCTCTACAGTCAGGGCCTGGCTACTTCCACATGAGAGAGAATTCCTTCAGAAGAGGGACACTCAGCTCGGCCACCGCCATGTCCACCCTCAGCCCTAGTGCCTACCAGGCATTTGGGGAACATGTGCTAAGCTGGACTTCCCACTCCACCTGCTGAGGGGTCTGTGCCCTGGGCAAAGGGTGCCCCAAGACCACCCCTAAGTCTTGTCTGCAAGTCCCATCCATCTCTGTGGCCAGAAAAATGACCCAAAAACCATGCATACGTGACAGTGCCCTAAGCCCTGCCCTATGCCACAACCTGACCTGTGTTCAAATCCAGGCTCAGCTGACGACTGCTGTGAGACCTTTCGCTCTTCCTACCTTGGTCACTTCATTTGTAAAACAGGAGTTAACTCATCCCCAAAGCACACCATGAGAGGAGCAGTGCTATCCATATAAGTCCTCAAAAATATGCAGTAACCCCAAATCAAATCTTCAGTTCAACACAGATGCACCTGGGCCTGAGTCCTGGCTCTGCTCCCTCTAGCTAAAACTGTTTCCTCACCTGTGAAATGGAGGTAAAACTGCCTGCCCCCCAGGGTACTTTTGAGATTAGACGTGATCACAGGTGTGGGGCCTTTCTACAGCTTACATCTGAGGCAGAAGTGATTACTCAATTTTATTGATTCTAAGACAAGCAATAGCACTTTGCCGTGATGAAACACAGTAGGAACACATTCTCTGGAGTGTCTGCTGGGCTTGGATCTCTGCTACTTCCTTTAGACACAGCGCTACACCTCTCCGAAGCTAGTGTCTTCTATCTAAAAAGGTTTAATAACAAGGCCTGCCCCATGGTTGTTATGAAGATTCAAACACAAGCAGTGCTCAAGAATAGGGATCTCACATGTCCAGGGGCTCCAGGGAGACAGGAGGCCCCGCCCAGCCCCACCATGCCCGGCCCGGCCCCGCCCCTCCAGACTCACGCTTGAAGAACATGGCATTGACCAACAGTGCGCCATCCGTGCGTTCCACCTCCTTGGTTACCTCAGGCAGCTTGCCATCGGTGGTCTGGGCAGCCCACTCATTGATAGACTGCAGGGCGCTGCCTTTGTCGCGGAAGTTGATCTTGGAGTGTTCGCAGTTGTAGTGCTGCTTGCTGCTACGCACGAAGTCATCAGCAAAGCTCACGGAGCTGGGTCCATACAGGCGACTGCCCAGCTTCCAGGTCACATTGCGCGCAGTGTTGTTGCTGAGCGAGCGCAGCAGCTCGCCCAGGCCTGCGTGCACCTCCTCATCGCGCAGCTGCTCGGCGCTCAGTACAGCCTTGGCCTGCGATGCCGTGGTCGCCTTGCCACCCAGCGACACAAGCCCCAGCGACGAGGCCACCACCACGGGTGACAACAAGATGTTCTCCACTGCCTGGTCCTTGGCCATGGCCTGGTAGAGGCTGAAGGCCAGGCCAGCACTGCGCTCAGCCAGCGTGGCTGCCTTAGGGCTCAGCTTCTCCCCTGTGCCAGGGGCTGCTGCAGCCACCGCAGGTTTCTTCACCTCCGCAGCCAGGGTGATGGCCAGGAGGCAGAAGGTGCTGGTGAGCAGGAGGGAGCGCATGGCTGGGAGGTGGGTTGTGTGCGCCACTGAGGACCTGTGAGGACTGCAGAGAGAGTGTGGCCCTGAAGCCCTAGGTGAGCCTCCCCGATAACCATTCCCTACCTTCTGGCCACCAAGTCTCCTGAAGATGGGAACAAGAAAGCCCAGAGTTCTGGGGAGCCCAGACCTAACTCAGGCAGGGGGAGGTCTGCCAATCTCGCAGAGGCCTGCTTTGACTTCTCATCCAAAGCAGGGTTCCAGGCAAGTCACCACTTCACCCTTGTGATTTCTAATGCTGAACTTAGAACACTTAGTCTGACATGTTTAGTATGTGTATTTCATCACTAATCTGTGACCTCCAGGAGACCAGGAAACCTAGCCAGTCTGGCTTCTCTCTATATCCTCAGTGCCTAGCCCACAACGGGCCTCAGCTGTTCCTGAAGGAACAGAAACCAGGGCCACCTGGCCAGCCCTAGGGTCCTCAGTTTGTATAAAGGTTAGTTCTGATCTCATACAATCCTAAAGCCCTTTTCTAGTGGGAAAAAAAGTGGCAGATGGGCTTAATGTCTGCATGAAGCCCAAGTGCCTGGGCATAGGATGTCTTATGGGACAGAACTATAGGCCTGCTCCTCCCCTCCATGCCTTTCATTCTGCCCTGGATGTTAATGAGTCATTGGTTGTTTCACTCATTAAATGAGAGAGCCCAGATGCTCCACTCTACTGCCCGAGGGTGACCTTGAGAGTGTGCACATGCATGTGCATGTTCACCCCTCTCTGAGCCTCAGTCTTCATTTTCCAAGTTGTAAGGGTCTTGGTCTCCACACCTGAGGCCTCTGTTTTGCCAAGGACTTGCCTGCCCATCTGCCCACAGCCCCCGGAGTGGATGGGAAATCCCCAGGACAAAAGCTGGGTTGGGTTGGGGAGTAGGTTTCCTGAGAGGAAGGATGCTGGGGGAGGGCGTAAGTCACAGCTCAGAGGAGCAGTGACGCCCCCTCCCCTTTATCAGAGGCTGGCCAGATGTGTGTTCAGCCTCCCAGAAAGCTGGGACAGCTGCTGCCACATAGGCCATATGCTCTGTGGCTTCAGGGTTGCCCTCAGGCCCTGTCCCTATACCACAGAAGTAGTAGTGTTCCTTAGGACAAACCTCACTCCTCTCTGGGGCCTCCAATCAGGATAGTCTTTCCACATAAGACATTTCCACACTTCCTCTTCTTCAGCTCATTTCCCCCTCTACTTCATGCAGCGGGACGGAAGAGGAGATGACAAGGCAAAGGGAAGGGTTGAAAGGAACACTGGTGGAGGCTAGGATCCGACTGCTCTGGCAGCTGCCATCTCGTGGTCTTCAGTGAAAATGGAAATTTCAAAATCCTGGTGGAAGACTCAGGACTTGGGCCTGCCTGTGGGAGCACTAGGTTTCTGGGAAGACTCTACTGCCGAAGAGGTCCTATGAATCCCTCTCCCCACCCCCGATCCCCAGTCCCCTTCCTGGGCTGCCCCCTCCTTGAAGGTGCAGGGCTAAGGGGAAGTAAAGGGTACATGGGGAGAGGGATAGGGAGAGGAAGGCCACTGAGATCCACAAATGCCTGCAGGAAGGCACAATAGAGATCTGTACCCTAGAGCACATATTGTGGAGGTAGAGACTTACCCTAAAGTACAGCTTCGGGAGGCGATATCTCAGGGCCTCACCACCTTCCCCCCAGCCCTAATTTCTTCCCCACCAGGCCTGGAGCCTCAAAGACAGTGACCATATAATTACTTTACAAACAAAGCCACTTAAGAGAGTAGAATGAGGCCGTATGAATTATTATGCCAGGAAAACAGGGACACAGTCACCCTCGTCAAAGGCCACCTCTAGTCCAGAGAACTGATGCCACAACTCAGACCCCTGCATTCCCTTGAGAGACAGTCAAGACGCCCAACTACCTCAGCCCTGCCACGTGGCAGACACTATCCTGACAGCCCCTGTCCCCAGCCAACCAGAACTTCAAAGTGCTAGGAGGGGCTTTTCAAGAAAGTTCCAAATTACTAGTTTGGGATTCCTGAGGCAGCCACACAGCTGTGCTCCTGCTCCAGCTTCAGTGACCAGTGACGTGGCAGGCTGGAAAGTGAATTATCTCCACCAGCCAGGGAAGCCTGAGAAGGAGGAGGCCTGGGTTCGGGTCCCAGGGGGTGCCATAGAGCCCCCCTTGCCTTAGCTTCCAGTCCACACAGGGAAATGTGCGGTTGTGAAGGGCTGCTCTGTTAACAAAGCAGCAGGAACGGAGGAAGGCAAGTCACTGCAAGCAAGCCAGCCTCCCACAGCCCAGCCCATGTTGCCGCAGAGAAATCCCAGCCTTTAGGCCAAGGTTAGATGATTTACAGTCCCACAGAGGAAAATACACAATCACATGATGCCCACAGTGAGCGAGACTGAGTTGAGACTGGATTCTGCGTTTTTGTAAGAAGGAAGGAAAGCAGCTGCCGGTGGGGGAGGGTGAGGGGGGGCCAGAGAGGGTCTCAAACACTTGAGGGGGTCTAAGGTACCTTGAAACTGCCTCAGAGGGAGGTCAATGCCTGCCTTTTTCATTCTGAAAGAAAACAAAGTGAAGAGGATGGGATAGGGCAGAGACGGGGTGGTGATGAGACAGGGCCTAAAAGGCCCAGCCTCCAAAAGGGACCCAGTCTGCACTGCCCCTGGCAGGAAGGCAGGCCTAACCAGACCCAGATCTACAGAGACCTTGGAGGTTGTCCATCTCTCTTTATAGGAGTGAGGGAGGTGGGTGTGTAACTGAGGCCAGAGAGGGACAGGGAGCCACCCCAGGTCCACAGGGATCAGTGTGGGGTCAGGCCTTCTAGCAGACTTTCTTCCCAGAAGCATCCACAGAGCCCTTCCTGAAGGCTGGGTGTGGTGTCGTGTTTCATACCCAGTAAAAAACATTTCTGCTGGGAATCCTGGTGACCAGAGACAAAAGAAGGGAACTGGAAGACCTCAGGAAGGGGGAATAAACCATCTGAGGACAGGAGGGTGTGGTCCCAGCCTTCGACTTCCACGGAACCAAAGCCCCCTAATTTTCCCCCAGCCTCCATCCGGGTCCTGCAGCCCTGAGGGACCAGCGGGAAACCGAGAAGAGGAGGGGCCAGTCCTGGAGGTGGTTTCATTCGTCCTCCACTCCAGCAGCCTCAGGAATGTCCCTAAGCTGGGGGCAGGGAACTCCAGTATCTGGAAGTAGTCTTAACCCTGCTCTTGGGGGAAGTAGGGGAGACTGGGGCTGGTCAAGTCCTTCCTCTAGCTGCCATCAGCTACGCATGCAGGCAGCTGATGAGAAATGGAGCCACGGTTGGTGACTCCTCCAAAACCATGGGGACAAGAGCCAAAACCCCACAATCCCTGGAAAAGCTAAGAATATTAAATTTCTATTCCTACCACCCTACCTTCAGGAGGCTCACATGCCCCCAACAAGCCAGTAAGGAGCTGGTCCACCAATCCCTGCGGTCCCTGGGCCTCAACCCCGGAACTGGAGGCACCCAACCTGCAGAGCCCGCCCAGACGACCGCTGCCTGCTGGAAGGGGCCCCAGACCCATCTCTCTCTTTTTCCCTGCAAAGAATGGAATCTCAGCGTCCTGGCCCCAGCCCCACTGTTTCTTTTCTGCCATCACACCCCTGCCCCAAACTTTTGGGGAGTCCTGCACCTTTTCCGAATCCTCCGGGTGCCGGACTCCCCAACCCGCTCTGGTCGCTGCACTAGCCCTCAGGCTCGCTCCGCCATCGCCATCTAGCCTTAGGTTCTCGATCTGTACCCTCCAGCTGCCCCCAAAGTGCCAGGGACTCCAGTTTGCGGGATCTGGGTTTGGCCTCCAACCACTCCCGGGGGCCGCCCGCGCCTCTCGCTGGGTCGAGCGCCCTCAAGGCAACCGCCGCTCCCCGGGCGCACCCCGCCTCCAACCCCCAGCCCTACCAGGGCTGCCCCCGCCCCTCACCTGGGCCGGGCCGGGCTGGCGCCGGGACGGGACTCACCGACCCGAGCGGCGGACGGACTCCACTCTCCGCCGCTCCCCTCTCCCTACGTCTATATATGGCGTCCCCTCCTCCCGCCCATCCCGAGAAACTTCTGGAAAGTTGGAAAAGCTTCCGGAGAGTGCAGCGGCTCAGCCAAAAAAAGCCAAAGACCTCCCCCATATCGCCCCGCTCCCGCCCCCTCCCTCTGCGGGAGCTCTCCCGGCCGCTGGGTCCTATTGCCCCCCTCCGTAGGATGAGGCGTGGGGATCCCCCGCCGTGGGGCCGGCGCCGGGACCCGCATGACCTGCAGAGGGCTGGGGTCCTCCGACTCAGCGGAAATTCCGGACCCCTGTGACCCTGGAAGTGGGGGCAGGGGAAGTTCGGACTGCGGAGCTGGAGGGGACACAGGGCTCCAGGGTCCAGGACCTCGGAGAGGAGCCCCCTTCGATCCCCAGGCTCTCTGCACAAACCAGCTTACTCCTGATCGCACATTCCTTCCAGCATCCCTTTTTCTGCAGGGCTCTGCCCGGAATGGATCCACTCCCTTCTCTTTTTCAAGCTCAAATTTAATTGCATCCCCCTAAACACCCCCTTCTCAGTCAGGGCCCCTCTCCTTTGTCTCAGGGAAGGTAGTCAGAGGTTGGGAGGCAGAGTCCTTCTCCACCCACAGTTTTTCCTGAACACCTTGGCTGAGCGCCCCTCAGTGACTGCCCTGAGTGGAGAGGGGTTGGACAGACCCAGGACCTGCTCCTCACCTGGTAAAAGTCCTGGAGTGATAAAAGCAGAGACACCTGGGGAACATCGGATGGTGTGGCTGGGCCTGGAGGGGTGCACAGAAAGGGAAACCCTGGCTGTCCACTAATCAATTTGCTGTGTGACCCTAAGCAAGTTACTTCCCTTTTCTGGGCCTCAGTTCCTTAGGCTATGAAATGTGATGCTAAGTCAGTCCTTGCTTCCTTCTCTATCTATCTCTATTTATCTTTCTTCTAGGTCGTCCCTGCCCCACTCCCAGTCTGGGGCCCCTCCCACAGACTCCAAGTCTCACTATCAACTCCTCCCATCCCATCCTTTCACAACTGATAGCCCTCTGATTTCTGAGTTAAGCTGGGGTATTCATTTGTGTTCTAGGCACTGTGGACACAGCTCTCTGCCCTCAAGGATGTACAATCTGAGTTGAGTATGTAAATGTGAGGAGGGAACTCAGGAATGCAGATTATTTAGAACACCCTCCCCCCATCTTATTTAATAGTGAAATGATAGATAACAGATAGGCATGATAGGGAGAGGAAGGCACAAGGTAGAGAGACACTTTATTCATTCACTCATTCATTCAATCAATAAACTGTGTTGAGCATCTTCTTTCTTCCAGGTATATCCCTGTAAATGAATTCTAGCAATAGGCTGATGAATCATCTGGATCCCTGGCAGCGGGGGTGGCAGTGGGCCCTTTCCGGCCACCCCAGCCTGGTAGGGGTGACTAACTTCTCAGTCTGGGTTAGGCTGCTCCTGCTCAAAGTCTGATTACAAGGACTGTGGGAAATGTGAGATCACAAGAGCTTCCCACTCTTCGAACTGGGGTCAAAGATTTGGAAATTACTTGAATCCTACAGCAATCATCATAGAATATGACATCTTACTCGAAGCCCCATGGAATCTTTGAATCTGCCTAAAGAATATTAGAATTTTAAACCTCAGAGTCAAAGAATCTTAGAATAAAAGTATTAAGGACTGTAGGTCAAGGATTCCTGCTTGTAGCCCCAGGCAAAAGTCCTCTCTGTAGTATCCCAAAAGGCCAGGCATCTCCAAGGACAGGGAGCTCACTCCCTCAGAGGCAGCCCAGGATTCTTTCTTAGGACAGGTTAGATCATTAACAAAACCTTCCGGCCTTAAGGTATGTCCATCTCTTTAGGGTGGCTGCCCTAGTTCTCACATGCTTTCTTCCTGCTTCAACTGTATTGCTCTTAAGGATAAGTCCTTCCTAGTCAAAGAAAACACCTGGGTCCCAGGCCAGACCCCACTCTCTACCCTACGCCCCACTTCCCACCTCCAGCTTGGCCCTCAGATAGTAATTGGCCAGGGAGCTAAGGGTCCACCAAAGCTGGTGGAATGAAGGAGAAATTTGCCTTGGTTTCCAGCAGGTGTCAAAATCCCAGAGATTTCCTTTCTTTCACTCTCTTTCATCTCTTAGCTTTCTGAGGCTTCACCAATACTTTAGGGCAAGCCAGTGAAGCTTCATCTGTATTTGCAGCTGCTCCCCAGCACTAGCATCACCACCTCAGCTCCACCTCAGATCATCAGGCATTAGATTCTCATAGGAGCACCGGTCCCTGGTGCCAAAAAGGTTGGGGACCGCTGCATTAGGGGAAAGCTGAGTGCTATGATTCTCAGTGATCGCCCTGAATGGGAAGGGTAAACTGAGGCTTATGCTGTTAGATAAACCCAGAGTCTTAGAAGGACAGAGTGGAAAGGACCAATGCTCTCCATTTGTAGATAGGGAAGTTGAGGCCTAGGGAACGGGCTGGGTCTGAAGACCATCTGCTAGCCTTGCCAGACCCCTACTACAGCTCAGACTGGGTCAGAAGCCTCCTCTATGCTGCATTATCTCTGTGTCATCACCCTGTACTGTCATTAGAGACTTTGGACAGATAGGGCCTTTTCCTTCTCACTCTGAGCCCCCAGTACCCAGCACAGGATATGCCCAAAAGAGGCACTTGGTAAGCGTGGCCAGTGATGCTTCTTCATTCACTAGTGATGAGAAGTGGCAGTCTGAATCTGCTGGGCTCCAAGCACTTTGTTTCCTCCCTGAAGAAAGGCAAGGCTTCTTTAAATTTCCAAGATCGGCAAAAAAATTTCAGGAGCCTTTGCCACATTGTTCCTAGCTCTAAGCCCAGCCCAGGCCCTGCTGACTGCAGCCCTTCCCCCATACTCCCAGGCTGCACTCTTATCGGAGGGGGAAAAGGACCTGAAATACAGAGAAATCCAGCATTTCACGTCTGGATTCCTCCGGCACCTTCCGATCCCCCCGCAGGAACTGTTCCTGCCCTCCCTCACCTCCCACAGGGGCTCAGCTGGAAATTCCCTAGGTCCCAAGAGGGATGGGCAACAGGAAATAGAAAACCATCAAGTTCAACTGCATCCACACTGTCCAGAAAGGAAAACTGAGGCCCAGAAAGGGGCAAAAATTTGCCTGAGGTCACACAGCAAGGCAGAGGTGGAGCTGGTCCCTCCCCCACATCTTGGACCGCCAGCCTTCCCTGCACTCCCCTCCCCCCTCAATCTTCCAACTGACCCAACCAGGTAGGCAGGCCCAGTTTTGCCAGGTATCACACAAATAGCTTTCTTTGGGATCAGCGACTAGATTCCTGTACTTCTCACCTTATATTATTCTAGGACAAAAGCTAACATGTTATTTAAGTGTCCAACACGTTCATATTATCATATTGAATACTTTTGGGTTAAGTAAAAATGTCCTTGTTTTAAATATGAGGAAACTGAGGCTTGGGGAGGCTAAGAATGTCTAAAGGAATATAACAAGTTTCAGTCAGAACTGGGATTTGGACTAGGTCTATTTATAAGTGGGAAGGTCGGGGAGGGGAGAAGAAGAAAGAGATGTTTATGGGACACTATACTGTGGCCAGGCCCTTTGCTGGGCACCCTAAACAGTATCTCACTTTTGATTACTGGATGTTAATTGGAAGAAAGTGTAATCTCTGTCTTTTTACATGTCATAGAACTGGGGCCTAGAAAGGCTCCACTAACCAGGCCATGGTGAGTCCTCTCCCTCAGGAGCCCAGGGCTTCCACAGGCAGTTCTCTGAGATGCTGTCCAGGAGCCAAGAATCTGCTCACAGTCCAAAGCATGAGTCAGGGAAACACAATTTCTGCAATTTCTGATTCTCTCTCTCCAGAGTGTGGGGCCTTCCAACCAAATAGGCTGTCCTGTAAGCTGCCACGTTGGAGAGTGGGAGGCCAGTGGGGGTGGTCGGACAGCACGTGATTCCTCTTGTCTCCTCCCAGAGCAGGCCTGCTCCACCCCGACTCCTCTGCAATCCTGGTGCTGAAAGAAGTCACACAGTGCCTCCACCCACACGCCTGACAGAACACCCGAAAGGCACATGCCCACTGACACAGGACACTGCAGACACACGTGTCCACCCACCCCTTGTGGCTCTGTCATGCAGTTTGTGATGTCTGTGTAACTCCAAAGCAACAAAAATGCACCACACGCGGCACACATGCCAAATAGGTACCTGTACACAGGCGCAGACTCAAGGGGTTGGGGAAAGAGCACGGCCCAGAAGTCAGGGATTTCACTCTCACCTCTTCACCCCTTGTTAGCTGTGAAATCTTGAGGAAGTCACTTCCACTCTCTGGGCTTCAGTTCCCATTCGTAAAATGAGAGGAAGTGACTTCTCCTTGCCACCCCACTCCCTGCCAGAGGACATTCCCCCAGCATTCATATCAAAGCCCTCAGGCATTTCTTGAGCATCTCTCACATGCGGGGTGCCAAAAACCCAACAAGGTAAGGACATAGGTCCCAATGGAAATGGAATGAGCTGGATGCAGAACACAGGAACAGGGCTCCTGAGCCAGCCCAGGGATCCATCCATTGCACCAACTCGAAACCCTTCTGTGGCTCCCAGTGCCCCTGGAGAAAGTCCCAGCACCTTCAGTGCCCTCGTTACTTTGTAGCAGGCATGCCAGCTTGCAAATGCAGGTCCTCTGTGCCTATTTAGGGCCAGAGCAAAGGAAGACACTCTTTAAAAAGCTTAGCTTTGGGGAATGGGGAGCACATTGTATTTAGGGTGGACTGGAGGCTCCCTTCCCTGTCCCAGCTTCCCTCTCCTAGGCCTTCTTGGGCAGCCATGGAAGTGGCTCCAGCTGCCTGCAAGGCCAGGCTTGGAGGGCTGT